AATATTTTTGTTGAGCACAAAATTTATTGCAAATAAAGTATTGGCATGACTTGCCGAAAAGGTTAAAAAAAAAAAATAAAGCACAAGGTCAAACAATTACAAAAATGGGTTTATATTTACCCAAGTCTGTCTTTACTCATGGCCAATTATATGTTGCTTTATCAAGAGTTCAATCAAAAAATAATATTAAAGTATTAGTTAAGGATGGACATATTGAAGGAAAAGATGGTGTATATACTAAAAATATTGTATATAAAGAAGTATTTGATAAATAATTTGTATATATTTTTAAAAGTATTTTTTATTTAATTTGTATATAATATTAAATTAATTTGTATATAATTTATATATAATTTGTATATAATTTGTTTATAATTTGTTTATAATTTGTATATAGTTTAAAAGTAATTATTATTTAATTAATTGTATATAATTTATAAATATTATAATTGTAAAAAAATAAAAGTATTATATTAATTAATTGTATAGAAACTTATAAATTATACTAAATTCAATTACAAATTTCTCAACAACTACTAATCCAAATTAGATAAAATTTTAACTATAAATAAATAATATATCAGCCTACATAATATTAAAATTTTAACAAATTTTAATTAATAGTTCTTGAAAAATTACTTAAAAACTATAAACAATTATTTTAAAAAACTATTTATAGTTTTTAAGCAATTTCTCAAAAAATACAAATCCAATTAAGCTGATATTTTAATATATTCTGGCCCTGTATTAAATACATCTACTGTAAAAATTTTATTAGATTTGAATCAGTAGTTGCTGAGTAAATTGCTTCTGGATCACTATATATATTTTATAAAATTTGCCTTTTTTATTACATATATACTAAATTTATATAAAGTTCCAGAAGTAATTTTCTCAACAACTACTAATCAGATTTGAATAAAATTTTTACTGTTAATAAATTCTATATCTGGCTACAACATATTAAAATTTTATCAAATTTGGTTTGGTAGTTCTTTAGCAATTACTTAAAACTTATACCTAATTTTTTTAAAAAATCTATATATAGTTTTATATATGGTTTTTTACTAATTCCTACAAAACTATTGATCTAATTTAGCTAAAAATTTAATATGTTGTAGCCTTAATTTATATCTATTAACAGTAAAAATTTCATTCAATTTGAATTAGTAGTTTCTGAGAAAATTGCTTCCGGAACTATATATAAATTTCTAATTTTGTGAAAAGTATAAAAGATATTTTTAAATTTAATTAAAGAGTTTATAATATGAATTATATACTAGTTGAGTTGTTTAATTTGAGTATTTTTGTTGTATAGGAGTTTTTTAAGTTTTTGTAGAGCTAATAAGTTATCTATATATATATAAATATAAAAAGATATTGGAAGTATAAGTAGAATTGTGATTATTGTTTTTATTTTTGCTCTTATTAAATTAAAAGTATATATCAAAACAATATTAAATTTTATTTAGCTATTATTAGAGAAGATCTAGCTAAAATCTGTTTTAATAGAAAATGTTTGTAAGTAGTAAATAAATACATCAATATAGAAATACTAGCTTATAGACCCGGGCATTGCTCCGGATGCTAGTTTTTTTTATTTTTTTTAGTTCTTAAATTTTTTAAATCAAAGTATAAATAAAATATAAGTTTTTTAATTAATAAATATTAAATAGTTAAATAATTTTTTTAGTTTTTAAAATTATAAAAATTAAGTATATACTTTCGCTACGGCTGTCGCCTCTGCTTCAGTATTTTTACTAAAACCTATTATACTCTAACTCTAACCCTAACCCTAACCCTAACTCTAATCCTAACTCTGGCCCTAACCCTAACCCTAACTCTAACTCTAACTCCTAATTCTCTAATCTTAATCTTAAAATTTCTAATTTTAACTTTAATTCTATCTTTATCTTAAAATTTAACAAATATTAAGTTTAATATATTTATATAATATAATAATATATGTAAAACAAAATTACTTAGTATATAAAGATAGGATTCATTAGTAAAATTTTGAAAATCTTTAGATTTTCAATAATTTTATT